GTAGGTTAAATGACATGGCCTGATCACACAGCTAGATCAAATACTGCAGGGTCTAGAACTAGCTACATATCAACTCTCAAGGGACAAAGACTGTGTTGGGCCAACCTTAGGGTATGGCCACAAAATGCCTTTTAGGACAGAGGAGGTGGTCAGATACTAATCATGAAGGCAGCATAGGTAGGGACTAGTCAGGGGAAGGGCTGGGACACTTCTGCCCTCCTAAACTTCATAATCATTTTCCTCACTAATTTGTCTTCTTCACAGACAGCCCTATATGTAGATACTTAAAATATTAAAAAGTGTATTAAAATATCCACATTATTTAAAAAAAATCCACATGTATGGATCCCATTAGTGTATTGGTTTTGGTGGAACTTTCCTACACACACACGGGATGAGAAGGCAGAAGCAAACTAATTTCTGAAACTTATAGGATTTAAAAGACATTTTCTCCACATCTACTTTCTGGTCTTTGTTCTCTCAGTAGGTTTTGATTTATAGCTACGCATAGTATCTATTTATTAATTTACACTCTATCTCAATTCCAAAAGGATATGAGGTGCTATTTTATCACATATATCACTTAAAATATAAGGATAATTGAAATCTACAATTAATTTTTAAAAAGTCCTGTAACTGAACAAGCAGCACTATTCTAGAAGCCAAGAGATATGGGTTCCAATTCTAATTCTTTATTCAACATCAGAGTACACAATTGACTCTAAGCTTTTATTTGCTCATTTGTAAAATAATACGGATTACCTGGACAATTGCTAATTATGAAATTCTGTAGAACTGTTTATTTCTAGGTTAGCATTTCACAAAATGTGTTATGAGACATGCACACGTCTTTTTAGTGGAGGTAGGTTTTTGGGGTAGATAAGCATTGGGATTCCATTTATTGCCTACCTTATAGACTTCTGCACCCTTTCTTGCATAGTAGCATAATCAATCCTGTTTGTCCAGAGATAGAGAATGAACAAATTTAAATAGCATCTAGAATTTAAAAGCTCAATAAATGTTATGTATTAACTAGACTCAAGCATCCATTGAAACCCTGATACATGCTCAGAAGAACCATGAGGTTTCACAGAGACGACTTGGAAAATTCTTGGACTAGGTGATTTTCAAGTACAAGTAGATTTTGGAAATATATTCTTTGCAATTTCACTTGGTATTTTGGTTACCACATCACATCATTTAAATGAACTCTCAGGCTACCAATCTATACTATATGGTGAAATGCTTTTGCCAATTTCAGAACCATAGAATCTTAATGTTAAAGTGATTTGCCAGTTAGGGCTGAGTCAGGGCTCAGTCATTCAGAATTACATTAGAAAATCCATTAGAAAATAAATGATAGGAAATAATTTAGATGAATGAGATTGGAATTATGTGACTGCCCACTTGATTTAAAACTCAACTTATAAATTAAAAATATTTACCCCATTAGATTACAGAGCATGAGATTATGGACTCCTTTATGCAGGAAGATTTCTGCTGTTCATCTTTTTAACTCTTGATTGTTGGATGAAGAATTAAGAAATAATACTTACTGTATGCTTACTGGACTGTTTTAAAGATTTGATCAAGGCTTCACGAACAAGGTGATATTTGAACTTGAACTTAAAAGGAACATACGAGTTCACTAGGTAGAAAAGAGAGGAAGGAGTGAGCCAGGTAAAGAGAACAGTATCCGCAAAGGCATAGACATTGGAAGGCAGTAAATTTGGAATGGCAAGTGGTTCACAGTGGCTGCAGGTTAATGTGACAGTGAAAGAGTGGCCAGCAATAAAGATGGGCAGAGAGGAAGCAGCTAGATCATGAAGCGCCTGGGGATATGAATATTATACATGCATAAGTATTATATCCTGGAAGATAAAGAAGGAATAGGAGGGATCAACATCTGTATGTATTATATGGAGAAGGTGGTTGGTGGTTTTTAATAGAATATTGTGGATGGTTATCTTACGTTGGAAAAAGAAATATAAAAATTATAGTGAACAATGAGTATATTTTGATATCAAATACCAGAAAAAACATATATTTTGGGTGCTCAACATGATGTAATCACAAAAATGTCTTAATTCCTAACATTTGTTGAATTGTGTCTGCTTAATTAAGAAAAGCAATGTGAGCTGATAAAGATTAAATTCACTATTTTCTTAAGAAAATGGCCTTAAGAATTAGAAAACCAGTAAAAATTAAGTCCTACTTCTGTTGTACCAGGTTGGGTGAAAGAGTGATGAAAAGTAGAACCAGTTCTAATGGCCTACAGGAGCTGAATGGGGAAGAGAGATGAAGGGCCAGGGTTCAATGGCTGGCATTTCACAAACACCCTGACAGGAGGAACTGCTGGAACACAGGTGCTGCAACTCCTCTCGCTGCACCCTCCCATTCTTCACCTAAGCAGGCTCTCAGGGTGGACCAGACAGCACAGCCAGGTCGCACTCCCAGAAGAGCCATGGACACTGCCTCTACTGCCAACCACATCTCTCTATCCTGGGGTGGGCAGCCTGTGGCCACATCCTGCCCCGGAGCCCACGACAGGAAAACAGAATGGGCAGAGACCAAAGCGTGCTGTGTTACTTCCTTAACTTCTCCATCTGAAAAACCCGATAAATCTGTTTTTTCTTTGCTTTTTAAGTTCCAGAAATGCGAAATGCCAAGTACTCAAACTGCTAGAATCATGAAGGTAGGTAAGGGATATTTTAACATCATTCATCCTTGCCCAAATTTCTCCTGGTAATTCAGAGGAACCATCTGCATCAGCTTGCTAACGAGTTTGGATATGGTTCTCAGGGTGATGGGAAGCCAGTGAAGGTCATTAAGCAGGGGAGTTATATTACATAATCAGATTTGTGATTTAGAAAGGCAGCTCTAGCAACAGCAGGGACTGAAGAAAGCAGACAGTTTAAAGAAAGAGGTCAGTCTGAGGCCTCTGCAACTGTCTAATCGATGGCAAAGCTCTGGCCTGCTATGGTGGCTGTAGATAAGGAAACTGAAGAGCTGACAGTGTTGGGGAGGCAGAAGGAAAAGGTGAAGTGGAGGTGATGCCAAGGTTTCAGGCCAAATGGCTGGAAGGCAATGTTTCCCACCTAAAAGTGAGCTAGTCTCATCATTTAATCTGGTACTAAGTAAAATGAGATTGTAGGCCAAGGAGTTCAGCATTTTCAGGGTTTTGGTATATATTCTCAGAGTAAACTCCAAATACAGTTACATTAATTGGTTGTTTTATGAATTGCATATCAGAGGCAGCGCAGCAACTTGGTTCCTCACACTGCAGCCAGCAAGAGTTCAAATTCTGGCTCGGTCACCGAATAGCTATGTGATTTTTGATGAATTACTAAACTTCTCTGTGCCTATTCCTCATCTCTTAAAAGATAAAAATAATAAAAGCCCAATTAAGTATGATGAGGCTTAAATGAGTTATTATGAGTAAGGGATTTAGATGACTTAGTGCACTGCCTTGAGCTCAGTGCCTGGTGTACTCTTCATTTAATATACACTGTTTTCTCTGACTTATCAAAAATTGTTATGGAAAAAGTAGAAAATATGCTTTCAAAGAAGGGGAATCTTAAATGACTTTTTTTCCTGGAATTCAACATTATGTTCTTGTTCCAATAGTCTAACAAATAAGCTGAAGAAAACAAACCTTTTTCCTGAGAAATCTTATAAAAGTAAAAGCAAATTATCTGGCACAGGGATACTCTGAGGTTTAGCCATTTGAAGACCACAGTGCTTGCTTATAAATAGAATATTAAAACAAGCAAGAGCAATTTTCTCATTTCATCTTCCCTTATTGCCTAATTTTCCTCTCATACCATTTGCATAATGGATAAAAAGGCATCCATTATGCAAATGAATGATGGGGCTGTAAGGTTGCTGAAGCCACAAGCCTGGCTCCAGATGAAGAGAAGCTGCCACAAAGCCCTCCAATATCCACATTCCAGCAGACTGCTTCACTAGCTTGGTTCCAAAAGATAAAGGAAAACCCATGAAGACCATAGGTCATTAATTTCCATTTGGTTTTTCTTAAAAGGAGCACTACAGATGCTTTTCTGAAAATCAGTACAAAATATGGATTCTAAGCATTAGAGTATGTAAATGTAACTTTACAGCATATATTTTATTTCAAATGGGAAAATGAGTACTAATACAATGCTAACCATTTTAAGCATTATGTTTTGCTTTAAAATTAATCAGAAGCTGCCCTTTGCAAAGTGGAATAAGCCTCTGTTCTTCTAGCTTGAGAATTCCCTCATAACAGGTGCTTTAAGTAGTCTCAAAATGCTGTATAAACATTCTACAGGCATAAAAAGTTGTTTCAAATACCAAGATATTAGTGGATTTTCAAAAACTTCATGCTGTTAAATTGAGCTAAATTTATCTTTAGGAGGTATCACCAAAACGAACATGTTATTTCTCTTGGAGTTGTAAACTGATTGAAATTTTAGAATAATATTTACTTTCTCATTCTACAAACATAATGAAAAATAATTCTAAACAAAATTACTGGATGAATTGTTCTTGTCTGAATAATTCATCAGAAAAGAATGTCAAAACTAACTTCCAAACATTTCCCCCAAACTCTGAGATTACAGTTGGGGAAGAAAAGAGGGATGTGAAGAAAATCAAGTGACCTTTATTTCTAGCCTAGATTCTCTGATAAACCTTGACTTTTCCCAAACAACTTTTTTCAGGAACTTTAAAAAAAAGTTATGGGCATATGATACAGGCAAACTTCATCATTTTCCATCTGACTCCCTCATGTTATTTCAAGGGCATACAACTCTGATTCACCTTTGGTACAAGAAAAAGCTGCATCTACTTACCTAAGCAGCAGAGGCTGCAAAAAGCTATGCACAAAAATAATTTAAAGATAAACCATGATATAAAAATATTAACAGGATAAAAGTCATAAAGAAGAAAGAACACCTAGTCAACATGATGATGAATCTTCAATCAAGTGAAAAGAATACCACTAAAAATACACATACCTAGTTTCAGAGCAGAAGGGGTTACTTCAATCTCCCCACCAATTGGTTTAAATGCTGCCAGTTGCGCCGCCACTTCTGTCTCAAAAGCATCTGGGCTCTGCCGATCTGCAGGGTTTCCACTGGGGCTCTCAATCTTGTGGAGTGGTTCTTGTTCTTCAAACACAGCAATCAGCTACAAACAAATCCAACAACACTAATTACTTTGTAGGACATGCATACCACATAGACACTACCTAGCTGAATGTGATCTTTATTTGGTTTCAAAGAAAATTGCCTCATCAATCTTAAAATGTTAATGTTACTGTACTACAACTCTTAATTTTTCAATAATATTATGTCTACAAGCACCATGGTCAGGAAATAATGAATACTGGTTTATTCATTTGCTTATTTTGACTGTTCCTGAAACAGGAAACCAATTTTGATTCTCTCTCTTAAAGGAATGAAATGGCTGCTTTCCCTTCCCACTACCCTACCTTCCCCAACATGCCTAAAATAATTTCATTATCTCTTTAAGAGTGCTTCCAAAAATGAAAGCTGAAAATGCAAAAGCTGAAATAATAAGTCGTACAGGGGGACATTCCCGTCTCAGTGACCTAAAACTGATTCCCAATTATATCTGTCCCTGTGGATACGATCTATGCATAAATTGTGTGTATACTTATATGTAATGTGTGCTTATCTTGTAGAAAAAGATATCCTATTTTTGTACGCCTTTAATTTTGTTCTTTTTCTTCATGATTGTCTCTGTGTTGACTGGTTTAAGTACAATGGAGTGCTAAGCCCAATGAGACTCAACATCAGTAATTTTAATCTAATTATTCACATCAATTTTACTTTACATAAAAATGATGCTTTTTATCATTAATATAAAAACTCATTGTTCATTTCCAAGTCATTTTTTATTTAAAAAAAGAGCAAGATATCCTTAAAAATTCAAGTAATCACACAGACACTACTGTATAGACAGTGAGGACAGCTGTGCTGAAACTGTCCTTTTGGCCAACAGACAGCACCAACATTCAGAAACTTCAAGGGTTTCTCATCAGTTGATGTGGAAAAGTCTAAATGTTAGTACAGGAGGCAGCTCCAGGACACTACCATCATTCCCAAAAGTGCAATGTGTGTCAATTTAAAAGCTGGCAGTACATCTTTAGATATTTTCTCTTCATTAAATAAAACAAACCTACTTATGATTCAATGATTTATTCAGGAAAGACACTCAAAGCCCCATTCATAGGGGAACCCTGTTGGCAATAGTACTGGTAACAGAAGTGCAGGGTTAACCAAACAAAACATCATAAATTTCAAGTTCGGTCTTTCAAAAGAAATGAATACAATTAGGGATATGCAAATTGGCCATTCAGAAATAATTTTCATAATTGACTACACATTTCCAGGATGGAGACTTCTTTAATTGGAAAATCCAACAATCCTCTTGCCACAGAAAAGAAATGCTACTCCCAAGGCATTATTTTTAATTCTTGAAATTGAGCACATACATTTTCTATTTTTAACTGGTAGCACTGATGAACTCATTTGAGATAAGACTTTAATAGATTAATAATGAAAGATTATTCTAGTATAAAAATAATCAGTAGAAATATATCTTTCTCATCATCCAGCCAGAATAAAGAGTTTAACACTTTAAATCCTGAAAAGGAAAATAAAAACAAATTTTTAATGAGGTGGATGTGTGATTTTCATCACTATTTCTGTTACATAATAACTTCAATTTTGTGTATTCATGAATTCTAACACATATTAGTAATATTCCTTTTAACATTTAACATACCAATCAACTAGGCAGTAGCATATTGTATTGGTACTATCAACAGTTTAATGTAAGCTAAGAGTTGTATCTTACTCTTCTTTCATATGATATCCTTAACTCACCCATGTGCCTTAAATATTGGAAAGATGAGAAAAAACATAACATCAACTAGAAGTATAATATAAAAGCTTAAAAGTGATAACTCATAAGACAAATAACTTTTCTTAAGACACTTTACTATTTTCCATACATTTTATCCATACAAGCATACAGTCTAAGTAGTAACAATATTACATCTATTTATCAAATAGAGCAGAGTAGCTTCAAGATTTTTGTTTCCCAAGGTCACTGACTAAATGGTAGCTGGTAGTGGAATCTAGCATTTTTGATTTTCAATCCAGAGAAAGTATTTTCCTATACTGTAGCTGTTTTCCAAAAAGAAAACTAAAAAGAGAGGCTACACTGAATAATGTCTGTAATTTGTCCATGAGGGTGTTATGCCCTAAAGAATGTGAACTCCACTTTTTGGTGACAGAGGCAATACAGGACTTTTCTCGAAGATGATAATAGCAAGATCTGATGTTCCCCAAATTTCATAAGCTCTTTGAAATAAATTGCTTAGACTGTTTCCCAATTAGAGCCTAGTTATGGTGAATGGATGAAAAAGTCTCTGCTCCTGGGAAGAAGAGGGCCAGCTCCTTATCTGTCATGGCTCCCAGGGTTGCCTGCTGAACAGAGACTCTACATCCAGTCTTTATCTTAACATCTACAGTATACACAGACTTATACTTGTTTCAACATTGATAATTTATTTACATCATATATTTCAGGTCCTTGTTAACTGGATTACTTCAGCCATCTGAACACTATGTTCCTGGGTAGTCCCTCAACAAAAGGCACACTGGTTTCCAAAGAATCTAGTGCATGGAAATGGCTTTCCCTCCTTGCCTTTAAACCCAATCAAAGTTATCTTTCTCATAGAGATGCATTGAACATTAAAGAGGGAATTCTATTTAAAAGGCTTTTGTGTAAAGGTTTCACTGACATCTCAGGGGCTGCAGTTACCCACACCCTACACAAAATGCAAACAGGCAATATTGGATTGGATGCTTCCTCCTCTCCTGCCTTCTCTCTCCTTTGGGTCTGCCCTCCAGTCTCCTTCTGTGATGCCAGTGCCTTCATGCCACCTACTGCAATGCTGGCATTTCCAGGAGACCTCATAATCCAAAAGGATCTGTTCACACAATCCTTACTTTCAGTCAAAGCTCCTTTCCCCACAAGATCTCTGTATTTAAGCATCTAATCCCTAGATAGACACAGGAAGATCAGTCTATGAATATACTAGAAGTGCTCCCATTGAACAAACCAATGACACCCCATTTTTTGCCTCCCCTCTAAAGTAAAAATTTGAAAGAGCTGTCTACATAGCAGCTTCCAATCTCTCTCCTACCATTCTTTAATGAAGCCATTCTAGTCAAGCTCTCACCCCTCAACTCCACTGAAACTGCTCTTATCAAGGTCAAAAGCAATCTCTAGATTCCTAAATCCAAAGGTGCTTCTCTGGCTTGACTTCAGGACACAGGTGATCACTGCCTTCTCAAAGTTTGGATTCCAGGATACCAGTCTCTTAGTTTAACCTTATATCTCTGGGCCATCCATCAAGTTTTCTTTGCTTTTTCTTCTTTATCTTCTGGACTTGGCTCTAAAAATGTTAAAGAGCATATATCTAAATGAGTTTAGTGATGTCATCTGTTCCATGGCTTAATATAACTCTATAGGGTAATAAATTCAAAAATTTCAGTGATGCAACCCAGACCTTTAACTCCAGGCTCATTTCCTAATCAAACATGTCAAAAACGAAAAAAAGGTGATCTTTCAGAGTTCTTTTCATAGTTCTTTACATCCCAATTAATGGTAATTCATCCTTCTAAGTTGCTCAGACCAAACACCTTATAGCAATCCTTCAACTCTCTTTCCCTCCCTCTCGCTCTGTCTTTCATACAGTCTATTTTACCACTTCTCACCACCTCCACTGTCACCACTTTGGACCCAGCTACAATGTGTTTCTTAACAGCCTCCTGACGAGTCCCCTTGTTTCTTCTACTCACTGCCTCTTCCCCTTGTGCGCAACACAGCAGCCAGACTGCTCTTGCTAGCATGAATTGAATCATGTTTCTCCTCTGACGAGACTCCTGTAATACTTTCCCACCTCACTTGAAAAAAAGCCCAAGTCCCTGCAATGGCCCATCAGGTCACTGGTTCCTGTTCCATGTTTGACCTAGTGCTCTGCTGATCCCGCCCCTTGTTCTCAGGACTCCCTCCAGCTATACTATTGCCTTTGCCCCCTCCTCAGGGTCTTTGTGTTTCCTGTTCTCTCTGCTGGAGACAGTCTTCCACCAGACGCCTGCAAGGCTTGTTCCTCTGGCCTCCAGATCTGTAAGCAAATGCCAGGCTTTCTCTGGCTACACTAAATGCAGCATCTTCATTACTCCCTGCATTCCCCTCCTTTGTTTTACTTTATTACATGTATAAACCTGTCAGCATCATGGCTTTTCTTATTTTATTGCCTGTCTCCACACCTCACTAGAATGTAAGCTCCATAAGAAACCTCAGTTTCTTATTGATTGTGTATCCCCATTGGCTTGAAGAGTGAATATGCCATCAATAGGTGCTCAATATATATTTGGTGAAAGAAATTAGTGAAATATGAAGCAAAACAGATACTAAAACCTACTAGAGCAACAAGAGGCACCTAGATTTTTCATGTGTTTTTAGAATGAACATTCAAAATTTTTAAATTAAATGAATGTGTATAAATGATTAATATTTAACCTTAAGATGCTCAAGGTGTAATCATTATCATTATTGTTGGTTTCACTTTGGAAATCATGGCAGATATACTCCTCCTTTTTGATTCAACACTGGGGGAAACTGCTCTGCCACATCATACTCCAAAAATGGATATTGTGTATCTTCTCTTTCCTTTTGAGACTCACTTTCAAAAGGGATAGTCAGCCCATTTGGTCACTGGATGAAGCAAGGGTTCAGGCTGAATAGAGAGGTGGTGGAGTTAGCAGTCTGTCACCAGGCACTTCCTCACCCAGCTTTCTGCCAATATACCACTTTGATGTATCTATTGTGAAGCTTTTTAAAAATGTCCCTTCAAGTAGCTTAACAACAAATGTGAATAAAACTCCAGAGTAAGTGGAGATACAGCCTAAAGAGGTATGTCATAAGCTCAAAACTGAAGTGTTAAATTTTATTTTCAAAGTCGTGAAAATTTCACATATTAGACCCTACCAGCTTTCTGCACTTCTTTTCAATAAGAGAAGATTGTATGATTAAGGCATTGGGAAAGTGAAACGTTTATCTCATGATTTGGATACCCCTGTTTGAGA